GAGGAAATGAAATGTTTTGCTCAACTCGATCAGAATGTAGATCAATGGAATAAATTCTCTTGCAAACCCGCAGGAAATTTGGCAAAAAAATGAACTTTCTCTAGATTTGAACCGGATTTCGTAATTTTTCAGACAAATTTTCTCGAATTCTTTGTAAACTTAAACAAGCTATCTCGATTCAACAACAATTTGTCTCTTTTTTGTCCCTTTCTTTGATTTATGTCCCTTGATTCGGCATTTTTCTCAAAAAATTCTTTGGTTTTTCTCTCTCAAGATCGAAAAATTCCACTTTCTATGCAAAACATGCGAAATGTCGTAAACTTGTTTTCAGTTGCGCTAAAAACCCATTTGCATATTTAGTTTATTGAATTGGTTTTTGTTTTGTTTGCGATGAATGTGTTCAATTTGAAATATACACGCAACATGCAAGTCGGTTTGTTGTTCTTCGTTGACACAGACATTGAAAATGTTTGTGAATGCATATTTTTGGCTGAACAACATAAAAATCGTATCAGACTGTGCATACTAAACGATTGTTCAACGTTAATTCATGGTAATTGATTTGAAAGAGACGAAAAAAAGTTGTGAAAAGAGCCAACACATCAAGTGCAAGGGACGATAAAGTGAAAGGGCTGAAGACTGTGAGAAATGACAAAAGCCACCATCATTTTTTTCCGAGGAAATCGTTTGGTGCTGCAGTCAGTGACATAAAATTTAATCCATTTTTAATTCGTTAATACGTATCCATTTTCAGAGCCAAAACGAATCATTAGGCAGGATTTCAATTAAAATTTAATGAGATGAGTCATTAATTGAATTTGTCACCGGATTGGCGCTATACACCAATCTCTGTGTCTCTGTCCCGTGTGTTTGCACTCACTCGCAGTGCGAATCGACACCGACCGCCTTTTTCACTCGCGCCGCGCAATTTTTCCGCGTATTTTTAGAAATATGATTTTGTTGATTCAAATCACTTTTTTACTGAATGTAGTTCAATTCAAGTCAATATCATACACTAGCTTTTTCCTACATTCAAACGCGTCTTTCTCTCTCACTCTCTCCGCTTCGGCTCAAAAACAAAACTTATCTATTGTGCCAAAAACAAACATTACTCTCGCCGAAGCCATGCCATTTGTGCGACTCAACAAAATGTTATAAATTTATTGTTTCACAAAACACATTTTATTAAAATTCGTTCGTTACATTTGTTTTTGTTTTCGTGAAATGCTGCAAATTTTCATTTGAAATGTTGCAGCTGATATAGAACTTGTATTGCACGAACAGTCGATAGAACTTGTGAAAACTCAGTACGGTAAACATATTCTGAATGAATATTGGTTGGGTTGATTCGGTACAAGGAATTGAAAAGTCAACCAACGAGTTGAGAATTTTGCTAAGCAATCGACCCATGTTGAAATGGAAATTTGGGCAAAATGAATGAATGGAGTAAACTCGACAAACAGAAGGAAAAAAAAATCAGCAAATGAATGCAGACTCACAAGTTTCATTTGACAAATTTTCCATTTCCATACTTTAAACATTGATAGAGGTCATAAACGTAACAAAATTAGAAACGCATTTGAATCGAAGGATTCTTTTCTTACGAATAAAGAAGAAACGATGTTCAGCTACGATAAAAACTAGACATCAAAAAACCACAAACAAAGATGACGATGTTCATTGGATGAAAACATTTTGAGTGGAAATTATGACATGGGAGATGGAATATTTTGATAAATATTTTCCATCCAAGTTTTATTTATAAGGCGGTTTGGATGCCATTTTTTTTCAACTCAGAATTGGTCAACAGCTTGAAAATTGACAGAATTTCAAGTGCTGTCCATGTGTTGGAGAGATAACATGACGCATAACAGCGAACTTTTCGATATGGAGATGATTTGCCGTTTTCACTTTGAAGATAATTTGTCACGTTTTTTATTGGAATGGAAAGATTTGCAGAAAACGAACGGATGAGAGAGTATTTTTGGGCAAAATTTCTTCCAAAAAGAGATTTTATTTCGAATTTTCGTTTTTCAATACCAAACAGGTGAAAGAAATTGTTCAAAAATGATCAAAAATCTGTTCAAACTCTAAAATAAAGTGTTCAGAACTCTTGTTCTGTAGCGAATGCGAGCTAAAAACAAAAAAAAATCTCTTCGCTAAGCGCCTTCACAGAAGGAAGAAGCCGTAAAACTGAAATTCCACTGAGCATTTCCTTATTTGCGATGCAATTCTAAAGGGAAATTTTCCTGAAACACAATAGCTTGACGATAATTGTAATATGTGTCCGCATTTGCCGCAAGTTACTTCTCGATGTTTGATTAGAACTTGTCTGTTATCAGTGTGATTGTCTTTCTCTCTTGCTCTGTCTCAAACACAAAACATTTCTATGTAAATGATATCAATCTCAAATATTTGTTTGAAGTGTGACAAAAAACATAGATTCTATTGCGCACTTTTTGATATACAGAGAAAGAGACTCTCTTTAAAAAAAAAATATCGATAACGGAATGTACATTTTGGCTTTTGTATCGTCGTGTTCATTGTTGTGTGTTCACTGCTGACATGGAATATTGATGAAATCTATTAGAATTCCACGTGAAGATATTCAGGATGTGAATAAAAAGCACTTCGTGATCTTATCAAACGAGTGTGCAAGATAGACATTGCGATTCAATTCATTCTAAAACGCAAAAATACTAATGGCTCTCATTTCAATGAATCGAATACAATTTCAAAATTGATCTCATTTTTAATCAATGAACCGAATCGTAATGTCGTCGTTTGCAAATGAATTTAATTAGAAAAAAAAAAACGAAACGATCAAAGATCTGTGCACCAGAAACAAATCGACAAAAATGTAAATAACTGCAGCAGCAGCTGCAAAATTTATCAATTGAAATGAACATTGTTGCAATAATAGATTTTTTTCCCCTGTCGTTCATAAATTTCTATGGCTTTTTTCGTCTTAATTATGTGGTTTTTTGTTGCAACACTTTGTCATTAATTTGTGCGCACTTCTGTATCGCCATCGCCTCTCTTCTGAATACAAATTGATAATTCCAAAGTGTAAAAGAGATGATGGGTGAGTGTGTTTCTTTTCTCTTTTTTTTTTCGGGTAAACCGGTTCTTTCATCCGTCACCGTCATTGTCGTCGTCGTCGCCGCGCGAAATGCTGAAGTGTCCTCAAACCGAGAGCGAAACGAAAAGATTTATTATACCAAAACGAAAAAAAAATTGAATATATAAAAAGTGTGTTGACTTTTTTCCATTTGTGCCTTCACATCATTTTTCGTCGAATTTTTTTTTTCATTTTGGCACACCGTGCAAAAATAGCCAAAACGACGGTTTTTAGCACGCTTTATTCCGTTCGCCTGTCTTCTTTGGAGCGACATTTTCTGCGTTTCTCTTTTGGTGACTCGTTCTAGGTTTAAAGTGCAATTTGCGTTATCACACGGTGCTGCGTGCTCACTTAGATTTATCAACGCATTACTATTTTTAGAATTAGACGACAAGTGAGAAATGGGAAAGAATGAATAAAAAAATAAAAACGGGAAAAAAAGTTTTATGTCTGCGTTGCAACACGGTCTGAAACGTGACTCACTGAACAAAATTGATACTAACGCGCACAGTACGCGATTGCTTCTATCATGGAATTTCGAATGGAATTTCAAATGCAACCATAATCGAATGCATACACTCTGACTTATTGCGGCCCGTTTTCATTGCTTGTCTATTTTTGACACGGCGATAAAACATTTCATCCGATAATAACAAATTTAATTTACCGAGTTCGTCGCTTTGTTTAGACGATCGACGTCAATTTAAATCAAAAGTTTTTTTTTCTTCATTGGAAATTGAAGATCTGTTAATTGTTCCATTCAAAACTGATAGAACCTTATTGAGAAGACAAACTTCACGGTAAAAAAAAAATGAAACGCATAACGAAACCAGTGACGGAATACAGTACCGAAAAGAAGATATGTTTTTGTTTCTATAAATATATATATGCGTTCGAGTCTAAACATAAATATTGGTCGCAATCCGTGCACAGCAAGTTCAATTTCATTTGGACATATTCGATTTCAAAGTTCCGTATACACTTCAAAACAGCGTCGCGATCGCGCACGCTTATCGCTTTCGATAAACGAACTTTTTTTTTCGTATTGGATTGTGATTTATTAAACATCGAAAGCGATAGAGCGAGAGAGAGATAGAGAGAGAGGGAGAGAGAGAGAGAAAAAGAGCAAATAAGCAAGAGCAAGCAAAGGAATCAGACATTCAGCGAGCAAAAGAGACAAAGAGAGAGAGAGAGTGTGATTGAGTGAAAGAGAGACATGGAAAGAGAATCGTGAAACAACAAAGAAGAACGAAACAAGTTTCATCACATTTGATCTGAGGTGTTGTGTGTTGTCATGCGCAATATGCATTCAAAAGTCACACTCGCGATGCAATAAAATGAAACAAAAAGCTGTAAGCATTTTTGAATGACAAAAGGAAATCAATAAGCTTGGGCTTGAATTTCTTTAAGTGAGCGGAGGCGCTCATACCGAACGTAGCGTGTTCGTACATGTGCATGCGATCGATCGATCGATCGGTGTGTTGTGTTTGAAATGTAAGTATCAAGCATCAGCAATTTGTTGCGGCGCCATAAGTACATACACAGCTACACACGTTCGCATTCTATTTATACCATTATCATTTTCAATTTCATTGTTCTCGGCACATTTTTATTCACGTTCAAATTCCGATCTTCATGGGCTGCTTCTGTCACTTCTGTGTGTACATTTTGTTGAATGAAAGAGAGAGAGAGAGAAAGAGAGAGAGAGAGAGAGAGAGAGAGAGGGAGGGCGTGAGAGAAAGCGATGAAGATCGAGAACGTGAACAAAAAATTTCACGTGAATTTCGGTTCACACTTGAGTTTTGTCCATTTTTAACATTGTTTTTTCCCCATTTTTTCTTCCATTTGGATTTTTCTTCTGAAAATTTCCGTTGCTTAGTGCCAAGGAGAAGATAACGTTACCGGAACCAGGAAAATATGCGACTGGAATTTTGTATTTGGACGAGACAACACACGGCGAGATCGAGAAGGAATTCGAAGCGGTGGCCACAAGCGTTGGATTAACGGTGTTGGGATGGCGTACAGTGCCGACAGATAGTTCGGCTATTGGCCGTGTTGCGCGCAAAAGTGAACCACTGTCGCGCCAAGTATTTTTATGGTCAACCAATGCTGTGCTCACCGAAGACGAATTCATTCGTGCCGTTTTCGTGTTGCGAAAGCGTGCCACCCATGAGATCAGCCATGAAAAGCGACGCTTCTACATCTGTTCGCTATCGCATCGTACCATTGTTTACAAGGGTCTATTCACATCCGATCAACTGTGGAACTATTACATTGATCTGTTGAATCCGGAATTTGATTCGTATTTGGCGCTGGTGCACACACGGTTCAGTACAAACACTTTTCCGTCATGGGAACGTGCGCATCCGTTGCGGTGTTTGGCTCATAACGGTGAAATTAATACGCTGCGCGGCAATGTCAATTTAATGAAAGCTCGTGAAGGTGTGATGCAGAGTGCCAAATATGGTGATGATCTAAAGAAATTGTTCCCGGTCGTTGAGCCAGGTCTTTCCGATTCCGGATCGGCCGATTGTGTACTGGAATTCCTAACGATGGCCGGTGAACGTTCCATGCCCGAAGCAGTGATGACAATGTTCCCGGAAGCCTGGCAAAATGATCGAACAATGCATCAAGAGAAACGTGACTACTATCAATGGGCTGCATGCGTAATGGAACCATGGGATGGTCCAGCTCTTGTTTCATTTACCGATGGACGATACATTGGCGCTGTGCTCGATCGTAATGGTTTGCGACCATCACGGTTTTACATCACCAAAGATAACATTTTGGTCATGGCATCCGAAGTTGGCGTTTATGATGTACATCCCGAACATGTGGTGCTCAAGAGCCGCTTAAAACCTGGACGCATGTTGTTGGTTGACACCCAGGAAAAAAAATTCATTCAAGATGTTGAATTGAAGTCACACATTGCCAAATCCAGACCCCATTCCGAATGGTTAAGGGCTAAGGTACGAATTAGATTTTTAACACACATTTGCTTTTTTCGTTGTCGTCATTTCATTGGAACCGTATTTATCAGAAAGGAAACCAAATAGACAACAATCATTTTTGTTCTTGTTATTTAATCGGATCATTTTTGGTATGCTGTACATTTCCATCATTTCATTTAATACCGAATGAAAAACCATTTTGAATTGGTGCATTTATAGTAAATTGAATTGTTCAATGTGTACGTGCGTTGATCATATTACGAAATGCACACGAATATTCACGTCGTACTAGAAATTTTGACTTTGTTTAGATTTTGGACAAGAGATTGCAATTCAGATATTGAACTTCAGCTTCTGCAGTGTAGTTGGATAATACGCTAATCCTGATGATCAAACCATTCGTGATGATTAATATAATGAATAATCATATAAAATCATTCGATTGGAAATCACTGATTTCAAATCAAGCCATTCAGTTTATTCCAATTCTTCTCTCGTTTAAATCACTTGAGTGCCTCGCTTTGGCGATTCCACCCAAGACATTACGCTTTAAATATAAATAATAAAACTTTGAAAGTTAAAATCAGACCTTGAACTTGAAACGCATTTAAATGAATTTATACAAAGAAATTGCTAGTACGATGGGATTAAGTGTGCATGGTTCCGTTTAAATGTAAATTACGTTAATCGTTTAGAAAACATAATCATCATCATCATACACATTCGATAGTAGTTGTATTCGTTGTACGAAACACCACACAACCACGATCAACATACAAACGATACAAATCAAAAGCGATGATGCCAGCGTATCAAGCGATTCAGACGAAGAGTTGCTAATTTTTGACCAAAACTCATCGAGATCAATATCTAAACAATTCGCGTTTGGTTCAACCAAATGGATTTGCTTGAATTGGAACTTGAATGATTTTTGGGCCAAAAATTTCATATTCCAAAAAATGCTATCGCCGTTTTTATCATTTTTCTGCATAAAAACACATGGAATACAAGGGAAAAAACTTAAACGAAGAAATTAAAGAAAATTCGAAAACGAATAAACGAAGAAGTGAATAAAAAAAACTAAGAACAAAAAATTAATTTTCAAAAGCAACCTGAAAACAAAAAAAAAGCAACGAAAAATCAAGGAAGAAAGCAACTGTGCCACAAATCAACCGAAAATTATGATTGATTTTTTTGATTTGTTTCGTTCAGCAATTGTTTTTTTTTCTTCTTTCTTTTGTTAAAACGAAATGGTTTAATTTTTTTTTCTTTCGTTCATTCAAATTTCGATTCTCAAATGAAACATTTCGGCGATTGTATTTTTTATCATTTTCAAGAACAACAACAACAACAACAAACCTCATTGTTTCTGTCCAATTTTCAATTAATTATTTTTATAACATTTACATTTTCTTATTCATTTGCATTCGAATTGTATGTGGCACGATGGAATTTTATCTTACACAGTCGGTAAGTGAAACAAACATACACGAACGATGGGAAATGTCATCAGAATATTTCGGTGGTTCATATCCTTTTATTTTTTTTTTATCGATATTTTATTTTTTCTAACACATTTTAATAATTTAGTGCTTTTGTTTGATTTTTCTCGTCTTCTACTCATTTGCATGCTGTAAGCGTTGAAGAATTCGCTCTGAATGTGTAGCCGTAGTTGTATTTGCATTTTACATTTGATTTTTATCTATAAATTCTCGTGTTGTACGAAAAGATGAAAATCATAAAAATTTTCGTGTTAATTCACTCATTAACACGCATATGACATGATAATATATGATTCAAATTACAATTTAGTCAATGTGAGTTGAATACTAAAAATAAATCTCGGACTACTGCGGGCGCGCACCACAGCGATTTCATTCGGAAGGCGTGAAAAAGGTGAAGAGAGTGAGGTAGAATTGATGCGAATTTCATTGACGCAGCAAAAGACGGCCGATTCGAAAATCCAAAGAGCGAAGATCACACACTCACACACACACACATTTTACGATGAGTTGATGTGATTCACGTGCGCATCTCGTGCGATTCTTGTTTATTTTGTTTTCTTTTACATTTTTTTTTTTCATTTATTCATTGTATGTCGTTCAATTGCATTTGCAATTACAATTTCGAACTGATTGCGGTTTTCATGAGTTTAGAAGAGAGTGATAATCTTTGAACGTTACGCTTGTTCAATTGTTTGCTCATTCAATCGCTAACTCACTCGTTCGCTCGTTCCTTCGCTCACTTTATTCACTCGCTTGCCCGACACTTCATTCGAGGGGATTTTGTTCAAAAATCACCGAACGAAAACGCTGTGTGCCTCGTTTACGATCCAATTTACGCTTGCGAATGATGTAGCTATGTTCAATTAAAATCACAAATGGAACCACACAAGATTCAAATCTCGGCTCTTGGATTAGCGACGAAATTGAATGAGGTTATTGTGTGTATGTGACGAGAGCAATTTTGTTGCGGGTCAGAGCTAGAATCTTGTTTAATGGGTTTCCTTGGTTGTTTTTTTTTGCTCTCCTTCTTTTTTTGATTGTGCGTAGTTTGAACCCAATATTTGCGCTTTTTCTCCCGATCCATCGATCAAATTCCAGTCTCATTCTAATCGACTCGTATTGTTTTTTTCCCTCTTTCTTTCTCATTTCAATTCGAATTGTGTGTATTCCATTCGAAACAAACCCGATCACAGATCACATTGGAAGACTTGCGACGCCACGATCTCTTGTCAAGCTACACAACAACCGTAGCAGCCGTAAATAACAATAATGTGAATGGAATGGACGAACCACGAGGTATATTCGATCCACGATTGCCACTTTACAATTATACAGCTGAAACGGTGAATATGTTGCTTGTACCGATGATTAAGAACAAAAAGGAAGCGCTTGGTTCAATGGGTAACGATGCACCGTTGGCGTGTTTGTCACGTTTTCAACCTTTACCATACGAATATTTTAAACAACTATTCGCCCAGGTTTGTGATATTTCAAACAAACCAATAGAATATTTTTTTCAGTAAAAAAAAATGGTTTGTAAAACAGAGCATCTTTTAACAGAGCATCTTTTTAAGGTCACAAATCCACCAATCGATCCTTTCAGAGAAAGGATTGTTATGTCATTGCAATGTCCAATTGGACCGGAAGCCAATTTATTGCATCCATCGGCTGAACAAACGCATCGTCTGTGGATTTCGAATCCGATTATCAGCCGCACCGATTTGGCCATTTTGAAGCGGACCAACCACAAGGGCTGGAAATCAAAGGTCATTGACATTACGTTCCCGTATGGTGAAGGAATTGCTGGCTACGATCAGGCGCTGACACGAGTTTGCCGTGAAGGACAGGAAGCCGCTGAAAATAACTATCAAGTGCTGATTTTATCGGATCGTAATGCGGGCAAAGAACGTGCACCATTGTCGGCCCTATTGGCATGTGGTGCCCTGCATCATCATTTGATCGAAACACGAAACCGTATGCGAGTCGCTTTGGTCATTGAAACGGCTGAAATTAGCGAAGTGCATCATGTTTGCGTGATATTGGGCTATGGTGCCGATGCAATTTGCCCATATTTGGCATTTGAATTGGCTGGTGCACTGCGCGACGAAGGTGTTCTCGATCAATGTATCACCGATCAACAAATTTATGCATCGTATGCACAGGTGAGCTGAAGAAATATTCTCAAAATGAAGCGAACGCTCGAAAATCTTTCACCAAATCCAAATTCGACCATTAAATTTTTCCGTGCAATTTTACAGGCTATCGAAACAGGTATTTCAAAAGTGATGGCCAAAATGGGTATCAGTACATTGCAATCGTACAGAGCGGCGCAGATCTTTGAAATCGTCGGTTTGGGCACGGAACTGGTTGATCGATGCTTCCGCGGTACGCAATCGCGTATCGGCGGTGTTACATTGCAAATTATCGCGGCCGAAAATTTGTATCGTCATCAAATGGCTTATGCACGAGAGAAACCCGATCAATACATCCTTCGTAATCCCGGTGTTTACCATTGGCGTAACGGTGGTGAAGGCCACATTAATGCACCCGGCTCAATTGCTAGCTTGCAAGAAGCGGCCATCAATAACAATAAAAATGCATTTGCCCTGTTCCGCGATCAAACGTTGGCCAGTGTCAAACAGTGCACATTGAGAGGTCAATTGGAATTCGTCGATGATCGCGAAAAGATTGATATCAGCGAAGTTGAACCGGCTGCTGAAATTGTTAAACGTTTCGCTACCGGTGCCATGAGTTTTGGTAGTATTTCGCTCGAAGCACACTCCACATTGGCCATTTCGATGAACCGCATCGGTGGCAAAAGTAACACCGGTGAAGGTGGTGAAAATCCAGACAGATACTTGAGTAAGTAGGAACAAATGGTACAGAAGCAAACGTCATTCGTGGCATAAATTGTTGCGAAAAAAAATTAACCATAATGTTCCTTCCCCAAACAGATCAAGATCCACAGAACAACCAACGTTCAGCAATCAAACAAGTTGCATCTGGTCGTTTCGGTGTGACTGCATCCTATTTGGCAAATGCCGATGATTTGCAAATCAAAATGGCGCAAGGTGCCAAGCCAGGTGAAGGTGGTGAATTGCCCGGATACAAAGTCACCAAAGACATTGCTGAGTAAGCCAAAAGAAATTCTCTCAATTGATATTTTGCCTAATGCGATTCCGTTTCACAGCACTCGTCATTCAGTCGCTGGCGTTGGTTTGATCTCACCACCACCACATCACGACATTTACTCGATTGAAGATTTGGCCGAATTGATCTATGATTTGAAGTGTGCCAATCCAAATGCTCGCATCAGCGTTAAATTGGTATCCGAAGTCGGAGTTGGTGTCGTTGCTGCTGGTGTTGCAAAAGTAAGTTCCATTTTTTCAGTTTTTTCTTTCAGTTTTTTTCCGGTTTTGTCACATTTTTATGAAAATGTTTCCAAATTAAAATGAAATTTTATTGAAAATACAAAACAAATGATTGAAATGTTCCAAAATGAAAAATAAAACATGACTCTTCATTCCAACCACGTATCATTTCAACAGGGAAAAGCCGAACACATCACTGTGTCTGGTCACGATGGTGGTACTGGTGCATCATCATGGACTGGTATCAAATCGGCCGGTTTGCCATGGGAGCTTGGTGTGGCTGAAACACATCAAGTGTTAGTGTTAAATAATCTGCGATCCAGGTAATGACTTCCATTTCTATTTGATCCAAATGACCAAAAAAAAAAAAAAAATCTGCTCAACTTTACTCTATATAACTGCACACACATATTCTCGACCTACATATTAGTTCTAATTTCTCAGTTCGGTAAAAAAATATCGTGGCTAAAGTTGTGTTGTATGTGTTGTTCTGGATACGCGCTGCGTGCGGTAGACATTAGTAATCCATTTTTATCATCATTCCAATAACCATTGGTTCAATTGATTCGATGCTAATATTTGGCCATTCTTTCTCTCTCCTCTATCCGCCAAATTTCGCTCACTTCTTTTAGAGTGATCTTGCAAGCTGATGGACAGCTACGAACTGGTTTCGATGTTGTTGTGGCCGCTCTTTTGGGTGCTGATGAATTTGGTTTCAGTACTGCACCGCTCATCGTTATGGGTATGTCAAAGCATTTAATTTAATTCAAACATTTTTGATCAATATTCAATTCAATATCGAAATTTGTCTCTAACATTTTTTTTCTGGTTTCAAAAATTCTTTGCTGCGTTTAGGTTGCACAATGATGCGAAAGTGTCACTTGAACACTTGCCCAGTTGGTATTGCTACGCAAGATCCGGTATTGAGAGAGAAATTTGCCGGCAAACCAGAGCACGTCATCAACTTCTTCTTCTTGTTGGCTGAAGATGTAAGCTTCGTTTTATTTTTATTTGAAAATTTGTTTCTTTTGGAATTTTTTTTTATTCGAATACGACTCGATCATATCGATGAATCCTTGTTTAAGTTAAATTCTTGAATTTTTTTTCCATTAAAATTCCACAAAATGATGAATTAAACATGAATTTCTTCAGATCCGTGAAGTCATGGCCAATTTGGGTATTCGCAAATTCCAAGATTTGATTGGTCGCACCGATTTGCTGCGTGTTAAGAAAGATTTACCGCAAAAAGAGTCAACACTTGATTTCTCGTTGATTCTCAAGAGTGCATTGGATTTGCGGCCAGGCACCAACATTCGCGGTGGTTCGGTCAAACAAGATTTCGGCTTAGAGACACGTGCCGACAACGTTTTGATCGCCAAATCACTTGGTGTGATCAACGGCAACGAGAAACATGTTGATATCGTTTCGGTTATCAACAATGAAGAACGAGCCTACACCAGCACACTCAGCTACACCATTGCATGGTAAGTCAAAAGCCAGTGCATATTTTCTTTCTCAATCAATTGCCAAAATAAAATTAAGATAAGATAAAATAAAATAACTGAATTGATTTCATTCTATAGCAAACATGGTGACAGTCTCCCAGATGGAAGAACCATAAATATTTCGTTGAAAGGATCGGCTGGACAAAGTTTCGGTGCATTTTTGGTTGGCGGCATTACACTTAATTTGGAGGGTGATGCCAACGATTACGTTGGCAAAGGTTTGTGCGGCGGCACAATCATCATTCAACCACCAAAGGAATCGACATTCGAATCACATTTGAATGTTATTGTTGGCAACGTGTGCTTGTACGGTGCTACAAGTGGAAAGGCATATTTCAGAGGCATCGCCGCTGAACGGTTCTGCGTCCGTAATTCAGGTGTGACAGCCGTTGTTGAAGGTGTTGGTGACCACGGTTGTGAATACATGACTGGCGGTATAGTTGTGGTTTTGGGTTTGACCGGCAGAAACTTTGCAGCTGGTATGTCAGGCGGTATTGCATACGTTTATGACACCGATGGATCATTCCGAGGCAAAACAAATGGTGAGCTGATTCTTCCAATTATTTTCGTACGAATTGCATTTTATTTGAAAATTCGGTTTATTCAAAAAAAAATCAATTTCTTCAAAAAATGTCCAATTTTAAAATAATCGATTTTTTCTTACAAAAAAGAGAATTGTTAATTTTTTCACAATTCATCTTTTTTCTACTGAATAAAATGTTGAAGCTTGAATGAGTATTAAAAATCCTCCTCCTTCTTCTCCTTCAATTTCAGCCCAAACGGTTGATTTGTTGTTGTTAGATCAAGACAAGGACAAGGCAGTCGTGAAGGCATTGCTTGAAGAGTTCGTTGAGCACACTGGTTCAGTGATTGCCAAGCAAATCTTGTCAACCTGGCCAGCCGAATGCAAACGATTCGTCAAAGTTTTCCCATTCGAGTATCAGCGTGCATTGAAAGCAATCGAAGAAGAAAAGGCCCAAAAATCGCTGGGTAAATTGATGAAGCAAAACAGTGCCGTTGCATTGCCAAACGGCAAAGCCGAGCCAGCAATTCAAGACATTGAAGAATCCATCCGCGATGAGAAGCTCACTGGAAAATTGGCCGAAAAAGTGTTGGACAAAACTCGTGGTTTTATCAAGTACAAGCGTGAAAAGAGCATGTACCGCGATCCAGAAGAGCGTCAAAAAGACTACGATGAGATTTACAACTTCAAGCACGTTCGCAAGGGATTGAAAACTCAAGCGGCTCGTTGCATGGACTGTGGCATTCCATTCTGTCAATCGAATGTGCACGGTTGCCCGCTCGGCAACATCATTCCAAAATGGAACGATCTTATCTTCCATGGTTCATGGAAGGAAGCACTCGACCAATTGTTGCAAACCAACAATTTCCCTGAGTTCACCGGTCGCGTGTGCCCGGCACCATGCGAAGGCTCATGCGTCCTTGGCATTTCCGAATTGCCGGTAACAATCAAGAACATCGAATGCGCAATCATTGATCATGCATTTGAACAAGGCTGGATCACTCCCAAGGTAAGTTTTAGCAAAGATTTGCTTTGTTAAGATCGTTCTGGGGAAAAATATTTCCTTAAGGTCAGAAATAAATGCAATTTTATGTTGAAAAATTGATTTTCATTCTAAATTAGTCGCTCCAATTCCAAAAATGTTTGTTTTTTTCACTAAAATAATAGATTCCTGAAATTCGTACCGGTAAAAAGGTAGCAATCATTGGTTCAGGACCATCTGGATTGGCAGCTGCTGCACAACTCAACAAGGCCGGCCACACCGTTACGGTGTACGAACGCAACGATCGTGTTGGCGGTCTACTCCAATACGGCATTCCAACCATGAAATTATCCAAAGAAGTGGTAAAACGGCGCGTTGATCTGCTCGCCGCCGAAGGAATCATCTTTAAAACGAACACCTTCATTGGCAAAGATGTGTCTGCCAACGATCTGGTTAAGGACAACGATGCTGTGCTGCTCACTACTGGCGCCACTTGGCCACGTGATTTGCAATTGCCAAAACGTGAGCTAAACGGCATCCACTTTGCAATGGAATTCTTGGAGTCCGGACAAAAGAAACAATTGGGCGGTACCAAAGAGAACATTTCCGCTACCGGAAAAGATGTTCTAGTCATTGGTGGCGGTGACACAGGCTGTGATTGTATTGCAACATCCCTTCGACAAGGTGTAAGTATACCATTTTGACGATATTGAACGATGAAGTTTTGTTATGATCGAAATGGACTAAAAGTACCTATTTTTCTAATAAATTATGATTTCTTGTTGTTGAAATAGGCCAAGTCGATTACATCGTTTGAAATTTTGCCAACTCCACCGCCAAGCCGAGCTGGTGACAACCCATGGCCACAATGGCCAAAAGTGTTCCGTGTTGATTATGGACACGACGAAGTCAAAGGTGAGTGACATTCATCGCAATATTTTGCTTTTAATAAAGCATTTTCATAGGCATTTTCATATCGAATAAATTCGGATTTAAAATATTTGATTTGGTGCAACTTTTTTGGTGGAATCATAAGTTATTTTGATGACTTTAATCTGATGAACTTTTTTATTCGAAATTTTTAATGAAAAAAAAATTTGTTGGGAAGAAAACCATTTCGAAAAAAGAATTTATTCAAAAAAATTGTATGCACTTGTTGAAAAACTATCTAAAAACCCGATTAAAATTTCATTATAGTCAAATTTGGCAAAGATCCTCGCCAATACAGCACAACGACAAAGGAATTCGTTGACGATGGCAACGGTAACATTAAGGGTGTGAACACCATTCAAGTCGAATGGACACAAAGTCCGACCGGGCAATGGAGTATGAAAGAAGTGGCTGGCTCCGAAAAATACTATGCAGCCGACTTGATTCTGCTGGCAATGGGTTTCTTGGGCCCCGAAAAAACCGTTCCAAATGAGCTTGGTCTTGAGCTCGACGCACGTGGCAATGTGAAAGCCGTCAATGGACAATATGGATCATCCAAACCAGGCATTTTCGCTGCTGGAGGTTTGTATTAAAAATTTGATATTTTAACTATTATATTTGGGAATTTTAGTATGGATTTAGTTTTATCCATACTCAAATTCGCACCAAACAATCGAAAAGAACAGATATGGTTTGTTAGAGTGTCATTTTTATGAACAGCCACATGCTAAACAGCTCAATCGCAAGAAAACTAATTTTTTTTTAAAGTGATGGAATTTCTGACAATTTTCAATGATTCAGATTTTTCTTTTAATACTATTTTTTGGAATTTTTTTTTTCTCTCGGTAAAACCAGGTATTTTCGTCATAGTTCTCGTCACTTCTTACCAAATTTCAAACCATTTTTCAAGTTCATAAACTTTCTGTTGTTTCACTTTTCTTCAACTGTTCGTCGTTTTTCGCCTAATTTTAAACGAATCTCCGCAATTTCAGATTGTCGACGAGGTCAATCATTGGTTGTATGGGCTATAACCGAAGGACGTCAAGCGGCGCGCCAAGTAGACACATATTTGAGTGGAGTGCAGAGCAAGCTGCCGGGGCCAGGTGGTGTCATTGACTATTGGTCAGCAGCCGCATAAACGCCGATACACAAATGCACACACACACACACACAAATACCCACACGCAGTCAATTCTATGAAATAAAATGATACAAAACTAATTGTACACTATAAATACGCAGCAGAGTATTTATTTTAACCTGAAAAAAGGAGAAAATCAATCGCAAAACACACAGATATATAATATATTTTACAAAAGAGAAAAACAACAACAATAGCAAGAACAGAAAAAAAAAACGAATTGCGAAGGGAAGAGATTATCAGGGATGATAAGTTTTACGTGGAAATTTGGACTTATAATTTAGTTTGTGATATTTATGTAAGGAAAACAAAAACAACCCTCTCCCCGCTCTTTTTGTTTATTTTTTTTTTTTAACATACAATATTTCCATTCAGTATATCATTAAACTCTCTCTCTCTCTCTCTTCTTCATATTATCAATTGTACTCTTCTTTTTGAATTGGTTTTTCTTCCTTTTCCTCCCGTTTGCTCGATTTTCCCCATCGCAACAAAGAGCGACCAGAATTTCGCTGATTCTGATCATGTTCAGAGTATTCGCAAATTTCTCATTTTTAGCTTCTCTAAGAGAGAAGTTCACTTTTGCATGGGAATTTAAATTAAAATTCGTTTTTAATTAAACACAACACAACACCACATCATTTCATTTTCGAAATGTTTATGCAAATGGCAACGCAGGCTAGTAAATTGAAACGAAAATAAATAAGATATAATATATAACAAGTTGGAATATTATTAGAAATATGGCGAGTTCACATACAAAAACAACAACAAAAAAAAGTATAAAAATCTATCCAAATATTAACTAAAAAGAAAATTAAATACACAAATTGCATGAATCCTGTTTAATTGTGCTGTCGGTAGAAACAAATAACGCCGATCAAATTGCTTCAATTAAAATTTTTAGTGTCAATATTGCAAAAAAAAACAACAACAAGCAAGCATTCATAGGTTTAAAGAATAACCGAAAAAAACATAAAAAAAGAAGAAAAAAAAAAAAAAATCAAATGCTCACGCACTTTGTGTGAGCTGATGGAAATTTTACCAAGAGAAATCAAACAAAAATACAAAATTTTCATTATTATTGTATTTAAAGAGTTAATTGTTGTTAAAAGAAAATTTAAACTATTAATCGATACACGTCTCTAAGTTCATTAAGTAATCGGATGCAAAGAAACAAAAACAAAAAAATCTTTTGAAAGAGAACAACAAATTGTGAAAAGTCGAATAAAAATTAAAATAAATGAAATTCAGACTGGTTTCAACTGAAATAAAATGTCAATTCAATTTTTATGCCAACGGATAGTTTTTATTTTTAATTTTTTCTACTTTTCCAAACACAAAGTACGAACTCCGATCTCACTCCGGCATGTAGTGCGATATTATTTTAGTTTTATTCGAGACGAGATTCTTGGAGAAAAAAGAAAATTCATCTCTTGTCATCAAATTTAAGTGTTGAGATGAATTTGCTTTTGGACCTGTACATTTATCCTGGCCAAAGACAATTTTTACAAAAGACAATTGCATTTTTTCGTTTGCACTGAATCAACATTTGGACTTTTATTGCACTTTACCAAAAAAAAAAGAACAAAATTTTTTCAATTTTATTTCATTGATTTTGATTAAAACTAAGCCAGGTTCAGAAACCCAAATGATAGGAACAGTCCAATCCATTTCCAAACACTTAAAAAGTGATAAACTGTGAACTAGAAGTAAATCCGAACCAAATGATACAATTTAAGATGGCCAATGGCCATTGAGAGCACATACACACATTCATTATGCACTCGTCAGTATTTATTTTTGCGATGAGAAAACGATTTTTTTTTTTTCATATTTTTCAGCATCATCAATCTGCTTTTTTTCATTTACGGCTACCTAATTCGATGTCTAAATATATCAATTCAACATTTCCATTATGTTTTTTTCGTTTGAACGATTTTTTTCACTTTTTCCCTTTTTTCTCTTTTTAATTCTTTACTTTTGTCTAAAAGTTCCTTCAGCGCGTACGCACTTATCACTGATAAGTTATCAGTTAATCACGTGAAAATGATAATAATAGCATTTAAAAAAGATGAAAGAGACTTTGAACGAAATAGGGAACAACAACGGCAGAAAAAATCGTTTGGCAGAGACAAAAAAATTAATCTTTATCTACTAAGAATGGCTGGGCTAAAAATTTAAATAATCACATAAACATGAAACCTACTAACTTGGGGGTAAGAACACAAGCGCTTGAGACGAATTCGTACGAATATTCGTGAATTCTTGTGATTGTGTATACGAGACATTTGCAGCGCAGTGAGTGTACAACAACAATAACAAAGCCACGAACACATGAATATATGCGAATACATACGAATGACACAACTAGCCCCTAGCCTACTAATCAAAAGATGTTATTTCGATTTTGATGCACAATATACCGTGGTTCGTGGAGCTGAGTTTCTTTTTCAAAATCCTGAAACTAAAAAATCAAATCAATATCCAATTATCGTGTGAGATTTCTCCCAACTGCTGATTAGAGTAGTGAAAACAAAGAGTAAAAACTGAAGAAGCATTGAAACCAGGGGAACGACAACAATTTGGAAACTTTTCGCCCATTGAATCTTTGATAAAATTTTCGCTGATTTGATGAAGAAGAAGAAGAAAAGACAAACATGTATCTTTATTGAGTGTGAACGTATTACTAAGCACCTCATGCAATGTGCGGCTGGTTGAAATTATTCTTTATACATCGAGACACAAAACACTCTGATGGACAATACTTAGGACACAATTTATGAGACAAAACAAACAAAAAACTAAAGAAAATTACTCGTAGATTTCTTATGAAATTTTGTTCGACTTTTTTGGAAACATATTCAACCTTTTGATGAACATGATGATGCTTGACGAAGTAAAATTGCATTAAAATTGACATTAATACCTGTATACTTTGTTGTTCTGAATAAAAATTAAAATGAATAAAAAAAAAACATTTTTGCTTTACATTTTGGGCGTTTTCTTTATTTTCATTTTAAAACCTGCAAAACGACGAAATTTCAAATAAGTGAATATTGTTTGACCAATTGATTGAATGATGATTGATTAGCCGCTTTGCTTTCTACATATTTCATGAATAAAATTTGGCCATTTGTTGGCTGTTGATAAACATTGTCAACGTGTTCTTAGCTTAGAATCTAAAGAGGAAAAGAGAAAATCGGAAAAGAGGAAAAGAGAAAATTTAATGCATCGTCACATCGGTTTTTTTTTTGGTTTACAGAATAAACATTTGGATAATGTCATTAAAACTACTATGATTATTAAGGGCGAATCGAAATGAAGGACGCAAGCTTAACTAATAAGATGAATATGCAGATATTTTGGGACTAAACCAAATGTCATTGCAGCTGTGGCTCATGTTATCTGAGTCTTTTTTGCGTTCAACAATAGGTAATATGCTCGTGTAATCAGCATCAATGTTTTCTATTGGCTCGTGTGTGTAAACTGCATTAATTTTCGTTTCCTGAAAACGATGGAAACAATTCGATGTATTTTAGTGAATTTCTCAAAATTGAGAAAAAATGGAAATAGATTTTGAATTTCCTTACTTTCGTTGATCAGTAGTCATAGTCATTATCAGAATAATCGGTATCGTATCGCGCATATCCTTGTCCATATCCGCAATCGTACTCATCTTCACAGCCGTAGCGATATCCATAGCCATATGTATTTCCCATTCGCGCTGGTTCATCGGACCACTCATACACAATGGTACGTTTAACGTTGGGAGTAGACTTGTTCAACATGTCAACGAACTTCTGTGTTGATGCGGTGCGACGCAGAAATGTGATTTCTTTGAGGTTCAACGAGTTTATTACGCCCAAATCCAAAGCCCTCAAAATCAACGTCATTATTGAACTCGAGTGTTTCTAATTGATGGCACCCATCCAGATCATAGATGTTGAATATAATTTCACCTACGGAAATGTACTTAAGATGTCGTAAGTTTGGAAAATCAAAATGTACATCGAAGATCACACCATTCACATTGCTCATATCATCAATCATAAGGGTGCGTACACTTCTTCCACAGTGTATATTGATCAGTTCCCACCACGTGACGTTCTGTTGGTTTAATTTAACTTCAATATTGGAAATGCATTGACCGAAAGTACGAATAGCGTTCTCATCAATTTCATTTTCATCTGCAACGAACAGCTCTTCTTTCTCTTCAAACCGCTTTATCACATGGGTCTGCACGAGTGCTTGACATTGCATGGAAGTTATGTGCAAAGCGTAGAGACTGTTTGTATCAAAATAGCTAAGAATTTTTCGAAATGGTTGCTGCGTCCATTGATCACCACCATCATCCTTCGCTGAAGCCTTCTCAATGTCACCCAATTGCAGCAAGTGTATATTTGATCGATTGTACACCGGATCATAGCCAACCCAATGAACCAACATATTTCTCCAAATAATTTCGGTTTTGCTGATGCGTTTTTTTAATGTTTCAAGTGATAAAAAACGTCAATTTGGGTCCGATGATTACCTCAAACTCAACAATACAATATCTGCATAGAAAAGTAGTGCGTTGGTTATCCATTTACAAAATATGAAGAAAAATAAAGCCTGAAATTGTTCATAAGTTTTTATGCGTATTTTATTGAATATACTTGTCTTATTTAGCCTTTAAATACATGATTTTCCGTTTATTAACAATTTTTTTTAAAACTCAATTTTTATGATTCAAATGAATAAAATTGATTCAAATGTTGGCACATATGGCATGATAGCTGTTTAATTGGGTTCGTAAATCACATGAGAAGGCAAAAAACCCAACTCAAACCTCAAACTCAAAGAACTTGGCCTGGCAATCAATTTGCAATTCATATTTTTATCATGTTTCAGTTCAATTGAATTAAAAAATTCAATTTTGCGTTATCATGAAATACGAATCCCAGATTTGATAGAACAAATTACTTGAGATGAAATTATTTCATTCCATTGGAACTGTAATGGGAATAAAATGATTTCATTAAACTTGAATATTCAGCTTCGAATTTCAGTATCACATCAATCCATTCGTTTTGAGTTGAATTGAAGATTTTAATATAAAATCAAAACTGACGACTTTCGTCTTACACTTTTTGTAATTCGATTTTTTTAGACTTGTTTGTTTTTTACATTATGTTTTTCATATTATAATAATCTACTTTGACATTTTTTGCTTAGATTTGAATTTTTTTTCTTTAAGTATTATGTGTATAAGTATTGTAAATAAATGATTTGCATTCGTGTACAATTAAAATTTGTTGGAAGAATAAGAATCGATGAATTTTTTCATAGAGAATTTCATGGATGTAATCTCTCTCTCTCTCTCTCTCTCTTTCTCTCTCTCTCTCCCTCTCTCTCTCTCTCTCTATCTCTATCTCTATCTCCTGTGGTCCTGTTTCGTTAATACTAATAAAATAGAAAAAAGGGTTGGTTTTCTCTTCCTATCATTTCAAATCATTTTTTCTAACCACTTCGCGACAGTACTAAATATTTGCGATATGCGAATTTCCTGAGATCATTCTGAACAAAATCCTAGAAAAACTCTTTTTAAAAATGGCAAAATAGCTTTAAAATGGCTGAAATCGAATATTAAGACAGTTCTCCGAATAATGTGTGTACCTTACATGGAGCCAAGTATTCCCGAGTTTCACTGACTGTGTAGATTCTAATGGCGCCGAGAATTTGTTCGTGTGTAACCCTTATGATTTTGTCAATTTTTTTTTGTGGGAATTTAATAAACATTCAATATATAATGACGAATTTTTCTTTCTTCTTATCATGCACCTATTGGAATATGTAGAGCCATTCGATTCTAGTGCGTAGTTACGTAATGTGTTTTCTGCAGGCATTGAAGACGGAATTTCAAATGTTGCAAATACTTGTCCTGTGAAGAAAAAACATTTTATTTGAATGTATTACATGATATATCTAATCATTAGGTGATAAAGTCATCTCGCATCAGCGAACATTCTAATTTTCTCAGTAAACTCCATCGGATATTTTAAATGAAAGGCTTACCATCAGAAGTTGGTTGGCAGAAAAAACTTAAAATAGATGGGTAACTGCGTGATTTCCGGATATTGCCACGTTGGCTACTGGAATGTCGACTGAATCGATCACCTACACATAGAAATAAAGATTGTTTGAGATTGAATTGGCATGAGATGAAAACAAAAAGCAAGCGTTACTCACTATTAAATAAAACAGCTGTAATGGTTTCTTTCTGGTAAGTCAGCGAGATTGACAATTTGCGTTGATTCTTTAAGTTGTTTTGAGTAAGTTTCCACTCATTGATCTGGAAAAAAAAATTGGATGAAAAAAATAGTATCCCATTGAAATATATGAATTTCTACGAATTCATTTATCTCGCGTTTACCTTTCCAAATCGTTCGAAGTATCTTGGGAGATTTGCTTCGGTGCAAAAGTCAATTGAACGATTTTGAGGATTTGGAATGTTTGCTTTTTCTCGATAAGTGAACGTGATGGAAATTTTACGTTGGTCATTCAAAATGTATGATTCCCACTCATCAATCTGAAAATACCCAAAAAAAAATCATTAGTATCACAGTGAAGTATATAAATTTCAATTAATTCATCTCGAATAAATGAAATACCTCGAAATTTCTCAAATGAATGAATCGTTTCAAATAAGGTTCGAGTTCCAAGATAATAAACGAATTCAAAGAGTAACCACCAAACTGCAAATTCAGCCAATTTTGGGCAGTATTAATCAATAAGGATATCATCTCAGTGCCCAAGTTTTCGTTGATCTTTGAAAAAAATTGTTTGAATGAGTTTTTTCTTCAATAATTCTCCTTTAATTAGAAAACAGTTGCTTGTGATCAAAAATTACCGTTTCTTTGATGTGTTTTAACAGCTTTTCATTATAATCATCTTTGAAATTAACGGCATTTTCAATTTCTACTTCGGGTGATGCATCTGGATATTTTTCCGTGTACGTAAATACCAACTGACATGATAGACCATTACTTTTCGTTTCAACATTGTATCCTTCCGAAGATATTGTAATCTTGAATTTGTATGGATCTCTGCTCAACACTGTAAACAAACACAGTTTCAAATTAAATCAACGCTTCAACTATTTTGACATAATGCTTGAAATGAATCCATAAAGATAGATGTAAAACCTTCAATATCATTGCGGTAAACTAATTTGATCAATGCAAATTCATCGGCTTGACATTTTGAGTAGTTTTTTCCCATTGCTAAAATGAAAACTTTAAAAATAGAACGAAATGAAAAATAAATTGCTGTGGTGTTGTGAAAGAAAACCAAATTAAACCAAATGATTTTTAGATTGAACATTTGACATGTGTCAGGAATCGGCGGCATTGTCATTTCATACGCATTGTGTTGCGTTGCGTTGCGTTCACATTGCCATTTTACTTAGTAGCACGGTGTAGACAGAGCTTAACACAAACTGTAACTAATTGCACTGCAATGTCGAGCTAACGTTACGAATCGAGTACTAAATTGACTAAACATAAAATAAGATACTAGGTAATTCCATACAAAAACATTCCACATTTCCCAGTGACAACTGTTCCAGGCCACGCTGGACAAATGATATTTGGTATTTAGAGAAGCAAATGCTTGGATGAAAAATCATATGAAATTACAATATTCCCACTGTAATAATAATAATAATAATTGCAATTGATATTTCTTCGTTTCTGTTCTATAGAGAAATGCATGTTTCATATCAACAGCTCTGCTTGCCATGTATTTTATATGGACAACTAAATACGAACTCTGGTTTTTTTTTTCTCATTATCAACGTTTGCAGTCACACCCATTTTTTTTATCAATGTCTACAATCTGTAGTGGACATTTCATGTTTTTTTCATTTCCAACTGGAGTGAGAGTGCAAAATGATCTTTTTTCACACCGTAATTATTCGGACAAAGAAATGCTAATAAGCATACAACCGAAATGACTGATGAACTTTTTTTCTTCTCTCACATCCACACTTGAACTCGTGTACATTCGCACGTGTAAATTTACGTTTTAAACCACTGCAAACATTAACCCAATGAACTTACCTTTATTTTTCGGTAATCTGTAAATACTTTTTTATCTAGACAATTTGATCAATGCACTTACTTGTTTCCGGTAGTATGCAAATGTCTTTATTGACTAGACCATAGTGGATGGAGGTGTGAATTTCGATTTATTAAGCAATGCTTTTTCTTCCTACGTCTTTCCCTGCGCCGATTTTCATACATTTTCTTGTCCCCCCTCGCCCATGGTTGGACGAAAAAGACATAAGTATACTACTGACAGCAACAGGTCGTACATCGACTCCACTTCGTCCACATGAAGACACAGATGAGCCAAATTGGGTAAATTACCGAGACTTTCGATTAGTACATGATACTCATGGATCCTACCATGTGTCATCAGTTAGTGCTGCGATGTTTGAAAATGAACCAATCGTCCTGACCAACTTCTCGTTCAAACTCCTTTCATTGTGTTTAAGCGTCAAATTCTTGAGATTTTTGCATCCTGCGCTGAACTCTTTCATTACTTCGACTAAATTGTTGCCAATTGTTGTACCAAGACTATTCAACCGTTCCGTTGCCACCGTTGACACATCTGTCGATCCAACTAAGTCTTCACGATAATTCATCACATGCAGCTCTTCCAAACGATTGCAATGCTGACCAACAGACTCGATAACTAGCGCTGGTGAAACTGTGCCTCTTTGGATGTACAACCGTTGAAGCTGTGGATTGTTTCGGTCGATTTGTGGATAGTTTGAGATTCCGGTTCCATCAATTTCCAAGCTGGTTAAATTGCGAAATTCCGGCAATGCCATATTGTCTTGGTAGTGTCGGAATGCAATTTGAGTCACATCCAATTGTTGTTCTAGAGCATCAGCTATGTCATTGAAGCTACAGCAATCGAATATGATCCGACCAAGTTCGATAGAATGTTGATTCAATAGCTGAATCAACCAATGATTTTGATCAATATCAAACAAATTTTTCGCCTCAATTCCCATTATGTCTACCCCAATGAATGCAATCAATTCTTCACAATACACACGCTGCTCGTTGCACACTTTGAAGTTCTTCGTTTTATACCTTTCCTTGAATGTAGTCTTGACAACGGATTCGAATCGATCAGTGACGTCCTTTAGCCGCATTAATTCACTGTCTTCAACATACCGGAAAATGCATTCCAAAATTTCCACCGGATTGAGATCGATCCAAACGGGTTTCTTTGATTGAGTCCCCACTGTTTGTTCTTTCTCCATATTTCGTTGGCTCAATGTTGATCTGTAGAATGGGAAAATAGTTGATTTTAGAAAGAGACTTACATTGACACATGCACACTAGCATGCACATTGCACGAAACAGAAAACAAGACAATGAAAAATATAGTAAATTTCACCGATTGATGTTTAACAATACTTTACCTTGATTTTAATGAAATTTGAATTAACAAGAAATAATTCTGTCCAACGCAAATGGAATTAATATTGAGGCTTATTCAAATTGTATGACGAGAGTGAGCAAGTATTCTTTTCACCCATATCAATTGCAAAACAAAATGGCGAGGCAAAGAAGAACGCTGCAAACAAATTGAATAAACAGACCGTTCACTCGGATCAATTCAAACTGCTGTAAACATTTGAACGAATGATAGTCCGTTTTTGACGTTTAGCAACGGTTCACATTGGTCATTACAAGTTTCATTCAAAAATTACCGCTGCCAATTCCGTTGCACAAAAATTACATGGTTATGAGTCTGGATTTATTCAAATAATGGACATTCATTCGCAAATATACACCCGAAATAAACCAAACAACATTCGATCTTCTATCCCTGAGTTCCATGGTCATCACGAAGTTTGACAATCAAACAAATTACCTTTCCGGAGATTGGAAATTTAAAATGGCACTCTCTCAATATTGAAAGGAACAGTTGGTGTTTCCCTGCACAAAATTACGCTTCAATCAAGAGAAAAACACTGGCTTTTCATGATTCGACGTTGTCTCGGCTGTTGTTACCGACCTCTTAGCATTTTATTCATTGCATACCGACCTCTTAGCATTTGATTGATTGAGTAATAAAAAAGGAGAAAAAGTGACAAATCAAAATTGATGATGAACTTTGCTTTCTACATATTTCTAAAAAAAAAAATTGGGCCATTTTTTGGCTGTTGATGAACATTGTCAATGGGTTATTAGCTTAGAATCTAAATTGGAAAAGAGAAAACCGGACGACCGGTCCAATCTATCGTCTCATCGGTTTGTTTTTGTTTTCTAGAATTTGAATGTCAAAATGACGAAAAAAAACTACACTGGTGAATCTAAATGAAGGACGCAAGCTTAACTAATAAGATGAATGTGAAGACCGAATGTCATTGCACCTGTTGCTCATGTTATCCGAGTCTTTTCTGCGTTCATCATGAGGTAATGTACTTGTGTGATCAGCATCAATTTCTTAGTTTTCGTTTCCTGAAAATGATAAAAACAATTCGTTGTATTTTAGTAAATTTTCCAATTGGAAAGAATGAAATAGACTTTAAAATTTCTTACTTTCGTTGATTGTCATAGCCATCCATTTCTGCTGCTTGATCGGACATGCTATACACAATTCTACGTTCGATATTGGGAGTGTACTTGTCCAACAGGTGAACGAACTCCTGTGTTGATGCGGTACGACGGAGAAATGTGATTTTTTTTACGCTCTTGAGTTCATTACGATGAAACCCGAATGTTTTGAATCCAACGTCATTACTGAACTCAAGTGTTTCTAGTTGATGGCACCCCCGTAAATAATAAATGTTGAATTGAATTTCACGGATGGAAATGTACTTGAGATGTCGTAAGTTTGGAAAATTAAAATACCCTTCGAAGATCTCACGACCGACTTCCCTCATATCATTGATTGCTAGGCTGCGTACACTACTTCCACAGTGCGTATTGATCAGCTCCCAAAATTTGACGTTCTCTCGGTCAAAGATAACTTCAATATTGGACATGTATTGACCGAAAGCACGAAGAGCGTTCTCATCAATTTCGTATTTATTTGCAATGAACAGTTCCCCTTTCTCTTCGAACCGTTTCTTCACATGGATCTTTACAAGTTGCCGGCATCGTTGGGATGTTTGGTACAGAGCATAGAGACTGTTTGTGTCCAAATAGCTAAGAATCTTTTGAAATGGTTGCTGCTTCCATTGATCATCACCATCATCCTTGGCTGAAGACGTTTCAACGTCAGCCAATTGCAGCAAGTGTGTATTTGATCGATTTAACACCGGATCATAGCCAACCCAATGAACCAACATATTTCTCCAAATAATTTTGGTTTTGCTGATGAATGCTTCATATCGGGGATGTACACCAATTTGTATTGTCACATCTTGAGTTCGGTGTTGAACTATGTCGAGCAATTCATCGTGGAAACCTTTGTTGATGCCAATTTGATGTTTTGAATATAGCAGAGTTCGAATCTCAACTCGGTTGATCTGTTTACACTCGCGGAGCAAGGACAGCAAAAAATCGTACATCGGTTCCATTTCGTCAACACGAAGACAAAGATGAGCCAAATTCGGTAATTTGCCAAGACTTTTGGTCAATACATGATATTCGTGGATTGATCCGTCTGTGATCATCAGTTTCAGTGCTTTGATGTTTGAAAACGAACCAATCGTCCTAACCAACTTCTCGCTCAAACTTCCTTCATTATGTTCAAGCATCAAATCCGTGAGGTTTTTGCATCCAGCGCTGAACTCTTTCAGTACTTCGACTGAATCGCTGTCAATTGTTATGCTAAGCGTATGCAATCGTTCCATTGCCGTCTTTGACATATTTATCGATCCAACTAAGGCTTCATCATTACTCACGTGTAACTCTTCCAATTGATTGCAATGCCGGCCAACAGACTCGAAAACAAGCAATGGTGAGACTGTATCGCTTTTGATACTCAACCGTTGAAGCTGTGGATTGTTCTGGATGATTTGTAGATAGTTTGTAAATTCACAGTCATCAATTTTCAAACTGGTTAGATTGCGAAATTCCGGCAAGTCCATGCGTTGGAAGTTGTATGAATGTCGGATTGCAAATTGAGTCAAACTCAATTGTTGTTTCAATGCATCGGCCATGTTGTTGAACTTGCAAAAGCCAAAGATGATCCGGTCAAGTTTGATTGAGTGTTGATTCAGTAGCTGAATGAACCAATGATTTTTATCAATATTTTCCATCGATATTGCCTCAATTCCCGTTATGTAATTCCCAATGAATGCAATCAATTCTTCACAATGCACACGCTGATCGTCTCGTACTTTGAAATCCTTCGTTTTATACCTGTCCTTGAACGTGGTCTTGACAACGGACTCAAATCGTTCGGTGACGTCCTTTAGCCGCATTAATTCACTGTCTTCAACATACCGGAAAATGTGTTCCAAAATTTCCACCGGATTCGGATCGATCCAAACGGGTTTCTTTGATTCAGATTCCATCTCTTGTTCCGTTGATCTATAGAATGGAAAATGATTGATTTTTGAAATGTGTCGGACTGTGATATGGACTCGCGCACATTGCACAAAACAGAAAACAAGACATTCAGAAATTGTGAATTTCATCGATTGATATTTGGTAATGATTTACCTTGACTTTGATGGAATGTCGTTTAACAGGGAATATTCAACGCGATCCAATTTAGTATCGACACTTATACAAAGCGAATGGTGAAAATGGAGCAAATATTCTTTTTCACACAAAAAGATTTCACAACAAAATGGCGAAGCAAAGAAGAACGCAGCGAACGAAATGAATAAACAAATCGTTTCTTGAAACAAAACAAACTGCTGTAAACATTTGAACGAATGATAGTCCGTTTTGACGTTTGGCGACGCTTCACAGTGATCATGTCAAGTTTCGTTCAAAAATTACCGCTGCCAATTCAGTTGCACAAAAATGACATAATCATAAATCTAATTTTGTTCGTCAATTGAGAAATAATTTTCGTTTTTTTTACATTTAATTGTTTTGGTATTCACTTCTTCAGAACTAACACTGTATTATTATAGTTTTAATGAACAAACCGTCAATTTCATGTGAACTGCTACGGAACCACTTACTGATGATCTCATCAATTTCGTTATTATGGACCTTATATTCTAAATACAAATGTGTGTATTTCAGCCCTCCATTCTCGAAGGAAAACAACGCAATTGAAACAGAACATCCTGTTTGCCATTGGGTCGTGATGAAATAAAACTAATCAGGATTCACAGTGGTAGTGAAATCATCAGAATTTTTTTGGATATCAATCTGTCCAATGCCTTATGCTAGCAACTTATTCATATAGAGAGAATTTCATTTTATGGAATGTGTTGCCATATCAAACTCCACATTTTGACGAAATCCATTCGGTGAAACGAACCGAAGTCGCATAATTGCATGACTGTAAACAAGAGCGAGAAAACGAACAATTTATAAGGAATAATCAAAACATTTTAAGCTTGATACAAGAACCAATTGTTTTCACTAAATTGGTTTTAGATTTCTTTTTATCAAGAAAAAGCAATTTTATAATATGCGTCACACTCGATTCTTATCCATTCTATGTGTATTCACCAGCAGTTTGTTGAGCGGAAGCTTATCACAAAAATGCTAGGATTTCAAAACATACGACATTACGAAATCAAATGTAAAAAGAATTTTCAGAAGCGGTTTACAAACACATGTCGAGTGCCTATCAAGAGAAAAGTTTATGCATAAAATCCATTTGCTCCGTTTATTCCATTGGTTTTTCTATTGGTTTGGCATTTGTAGCAGTGGAAGCGAAGCGCCGAAAGAAATCATTTCGAAGATGAAGTTCAAAATTGTTTCCCTACGTCGCCTCTACATACGAGCGTAAAATACATAATTCAGATGCGTAGATAGTGTGGTTGTCGAAAGTGACAAATCCTTCTAAAATGCTGAAAAAATAATTCAACAAAATCATCTAAAATTTGGAAAAAAATTTACTAACGAAATCGTCTAAATACGAGTTTTCTGGAAAAATGACAAAATCGTCTAAAAGACTCCATTACTAAATTAAAAAATAAAGAAGATATTGAGGAAAAAACGGGATTTTAGATTATTTTGTCATTTTAAACGAACTCTTGTTCATAGTCGTTTTTGGAATATTTCGGACGATTTTTTCAGGATGAAAATATCATATGAATTTGTTATTTTTGAGAGTGTTTTAAGCGATTGTTATATAGACATTTTTGGAGGGTTTTAGACATTTTTGCGAGGGGCAAATCACTCTTTTTGCAATTACTTCCCAAAAGTTGCAATTAGTCCATTTTTCAACAATTATTGGTCGGTTGCAATTACTTGTATATGGAAAGTAATTGTAAATTTTGAGGTAATTGCTGAAAAAAAGAGTAATTGCAACTTTTGGGAAGTAATTGCAAAAAGAGTGATTTGCCCCTTGCATTTTTGTCATTTTAAAACCCGATTTTGTTAAGAAAAAATTGTCACATTTTTAGATGATTTTTTCATTAACAAAAATTATTTTAGACGAATTTGTTAAAAAAAGGGACCATTTCCTTTAGACGAAGTTGTTATTTTTTTTAGACGATTTTGTTTTAATTTCAGACGTTTTTGTATTTAACCTTTGAATATTCATCTAAAAATAGCACTTATTCAATTGATGACAGAAAAAAATGAAATTTCCTTCTTGTTAGCATGCGACTCGAGCATGATACTCACTGGACTATCTCTCATTTGCTACATGATCCGTTGACAGTTTGTTTTATTGCTAAATTATTTTCTTTTACAAAATAGCTGATATCAAGTAAAAACAAAATTTCAATGAATTTGATTTTCGAAAGCGAACACAAAATTTGTGATTCACAAGTTTTGTGTTTGCTATCGGCACGACAATTGACTTCTTTAAAGTTTTTTTTCGTTTGATATTATCATTACAGGACGATTTCTTCCGAAATGCTGCTTGTTATTTGTCAGCAAAAATATTATGTTGATAGTCTGAATGTATAGAGGAAAAACTTTGTTGTTCTGAATAGTTTTTTTTTAATCATTTGATCGGTCAGTTGTTTCGTAGCAGTTCACATGAACAAACTGTTTAATTCATAGTGCATAATCAGTTCGAATTATTCTAAGTATACGATTCGTTAATTCAATTCGCTCGCTGCGTTCTTCTTTGTCTTTTCATTTTGTTGTGCATTTAATTTGTGGGAAAAGAACACACTAAAAAAGAATATAAAAACAACACAACAAGATCAATCAACATAGAATGCATGCGACAATATTATGCACCTTAAACTCTGCGTATTTGATTGTGTTTGTTCTGATTTTATGTTTACGAAATCAGTTGAAAGTTAAAGATGAGATGAAGTGATGTTTGTTATCAGAATGCTGGATTCTAGCATTCAAATTTTAATATCAATTATGGATTTTCCAATTTTATAAGAAAACAATTGTTTGTTTTCAAACATTACGGTTTCTAACATTTAAACAATTTAGAAATTGAACAATTCCCAATGAATCTGAAATATTCCAAAGTAATGTGTTTCCGGCTGATTTGAACTACCGACCTGGGTAAATGAAGTAAATTGCATCTAATTGTGTGAAATCTAATGATCCATAAGTTATGACGATAACGATCTGGAGTCATTTTGGAACAATTTTTAAAATTTTCATGATTTACACCGACCAAAAAGCATTGCAAGTGGTCATTAATGCAAAATAAATACAGTCAAATGAACGGACATTTTCGTTGCGGGAGATTTTTTTTTATTGATAATTGAATATATTTTATTTTGCAAGAAACAATAGAGAAGAACACCTATGATTTGTCAATGTGTCGGACGAATACTTCCTTACTGTATGAAGCACATGTGTCGCACTGTCTTTTCAAATGTCGTACGCAAAGCATCTTTCACTGCTAAATATAGTAAGACATTCGAGGGGCAAACCACACAAAAGTAATACTGCTCTCACAATTCGAAGTAGGCAAACCGTCAGAAGTAATACGGCAAAATAACAAATTGCCGAAGTAATTTTTTCATTGGAGGTAAAATGTTGAATTACCACCAATGTTTTTATTCGGTAGGTAAATTTGAATTCAGTGGAAAAAAGCCGCTAACAGGGCATTTGAAGAGTGATAAAACACACCAAACACGTATAATTATTGAGAAATAAATATTTTTGATTGTTTTTATCAAATTTTCATCAAATGTGTTTCAGCAGCAAACAGTGAATTGAATCTAAATCAGTGGCGTAATTAGGGGGGGGGGTTTGGGGTTCAAACCCCCCCCCCCCCCCACACAAAAAACCCCCAAAAATTTTTTTCAATAAATAAAGGGAAAATTGAGTTTCAGGATATTCAATATCAAAAATTTCGGCTCGCTTCGCTCGCCATACGAACAATATTATATAAAGTTGTATCGCCTGAGCAGTCGATCGCTTAATTTTGGACATTTTAGCTAACTAAAAATGATTATCTCAAACGAAATAGACGGATGTAGTCGCCTGATAGTTATTCTTCAGTCAATATGTTTGAAATAAAACGACTAAAGCCGACTATTTTTCATACAAGATTCCAAAAGTGAATTTAACCCTCTAATGCATTAATTTTTCCCAGGGCTGGGAGTACTGGTACTTGGTTGATTTTTGGCCATAGATATTTAAAAAAATATTCATAATCCTAGATTCCTCATGGTTAAGTCAGGAAATGCGATTGACATAAATCAGAGAACAATCAAATCCATTGTTTAAAAGTGAAAAAAATGAAAAAATTTATTTTGTCAAATTTTTGTTTTTACGGACATTCTAGTTTTCTAACTCAACAACCATTTGATGTAGACTAATAGTGCAAAAGACAAGATTATAGAGGATACCTTGACGAATAAAAATGACTATTAAGCAATGTGATCCGATGTACGGTTCACGTTCTACAGGCGTTCAAATGTTGCCCGTCTAGAGGCGGTTGTATGCATTAGAGGGTTAACTATCTGTGAATTGAATCACTTTCAAGTTTCATCCGATTTAAGCAGTCTGTCAATATATATCCACATGGGATGATAAACTCTTTTGAATACTTCGGCTGGAAATCCAAAATAAAGAATATGTTCTCTATGCTCTAAGTTGATTGTTAATAGATCTAAAAAATCACTACTTTGAATATCCACAGGAAATCGTCCCTGCATTTATTTCTAATACTTGTGCAAAAACAAAAACCCCCCGAAAGAAATTTCTAGTTACGCCGCTGACTCTTACCATTCTTGATTTGAAATATTTTATTTGAGTCTGCTTCCGTAGTTTCGGCAAGTTCATCAAATTTCATGGTCAGTTCGTCTGATTTATTTTTTGGATTGTTGCTCATTTCGTTGATTTCATCATTCATCGCTTGTATAATATTTGATGTGCTGCCAACATCAACACCATCGTTTATGAACTTGACTTCATTATCAGCTTCAGTGTCATCTTTAAGTTCATCAAATACCGTAACATCTTGAGCCAATGCGCGATTTAATTTATTGTTTTGCTTGTTCATTTCATTATTATCTGGTTCATTTGAATTCTGTATCGGTGGGTCACTTGATATTTCATTGGTTGACTCTTCGCCTGTGTTTCCTATTACTTTATTCATGTTTGTGTCATCGACGTTTTTGTTTTTTTCCTCTTCTTTTTCAAGTCCCATCGATGTTTTAACGTAGTCGATGACATTTTTTGGAACTTCTTTTACTGTTTTCTCAGTTTCTTCAGCCAAGTCCTTTAGCTTTTCCTCACCCGTTGTTGC